TAAAGTTCTAAAAATGATTCAGATCGAGTAGATCTATAAACACTTGAAAATCTTGAAAATCAATGGTCTAGATATCGCACTACAAGATTCACTATTTTAAAGACTTAAAGCCATTATTTTTTTATGTTTATACATCTGGAGGTCAAGATGATCAATTTGAGTGTTTTGTAGTGTTAGAATAATATGTTTTGGTGGATTTGTAGGGTGCGCCTTCTATAGTATAAAGTTGATACCTTAAATAAAAATAAACTTTTTCCATCATTAATGCATACTTGTCTAAATTGCGGCTCATAATTTCTTTTGTATTTAGGTGTTAAGGAGAATAGAGGTCTATAATTTCTTTTGTTTGTGCTTTTGTCGATATTGGTGGGGAGAAAAAACCTATGGTAAGATACAGATTGCTGCTATATGCGATACAATATAAGAAACATGGTGATCCATATGCGATTGAATGCTCTTAGCCACAGGATTAGATGATTAAAGGGAACAAATAGCACTTTAATATTGCCCTATGGAAATAGAAACAGTTTATAAAAGGCATTAAATTACATTATAGGCACTCCTTAATAACCACAGGAAATGCTGTTTCAATGTTGAAAAGCCCTCCAATGATCGTCTCGGAGTTAGATCCTTTTTTGGAGTTCGGAGTAGTTGCGGCGACAGGCCAGACTTGGACCAGGCCAGGTTAGCCCTAGCCATAGTCCCTATAGGGTTGGACCGAGCCGGCCCAAGCCTGGACAATATCGAAGAGGTCCCGGCTCCAGCCCAGCTGGGCCAAATACGATAAAAGTATAAGAAAAAAAAGGGGCTATGCCGGATTGGACCACACGGGCCCTGTCTTGGACCTAACCCATACTCAGCCCAGCCCGGACCTATCCTTAGCCAATGGTGGCCGGGCCCTAGCCCAGTCCTTGGGCCACATTTTATGGCCTAGACCCTAGATGTTCAAGGTTGTGCCAACTGGCGCATTGCCAGCCTTAGTTGATGCTTCTTACTTTTATGAACCCTCCGATGATCATCTTCGACCTGGACCTTTGAGCAGAGTTTGTAGGAGCCCTTTACCTGATCATTTATGGTGGGTGCAGTTTGTATGGAGCCGAGGCTCTAAACAATCAAATTAGAGCCCACCTTCAAATAGTGTCGAAAAATATGGTTTTAATATTGAAAATCTTTGTGATAGCCTTAAAATATATTTTTATCTCTAATTATACAATTTAAAGCTACAAAAATAGCATAGATCGAGCAGATCTATGAAAACTTGAAAATATTGAAAATTGATGGTCCAAAAATGCATTACAAGATGCACTATTTCCAAAACTTGAAATCTATTTTTTTTCATGTCCATGAATCTTGATGTCGAGATGATCAAATTTGATGACATTTGGGCATCAAAACAACTTCTTCAAGTGAAAGTTTTGAGGTAGGCTCTAATTTGATTGTTTAGAGCCTAAGCTCTATATAAAATTTTCCCATTTATGGTTGACGCCATATAGACACCACACCGAGTAGAATTGCTCCTTACGATTCTAAAAGTCTACGAGTGCTAAAGTTGAACCTTTATAGGTTATATTATTTTAAATAAGAGAAAAATTTGTATAAGGTTGCAACCTTCATACGTAGAATTAAGTGCACCAAAAAAATTCGTCGGTAAAATGTTGTTTTGAAGCTGGAAAATCCTCTAATTGATGATCATCTCGATATCGAGATGTATGAAATGAAAAAAAAAAAATTTTTGAGTCCAAAAAAGAGTGTAACTTGCAACACATTATCTAGACCGTCTATTTTCAAGATTTTCATGTGTTTATCGATCTACTTGACTTGAACCATTTTTTTAATCTAAAATTTTATAATTAGAGATAAAAATAGATGCTCAAGCCATTATAAGAAATTTTAATCCCAAAATTACATCATATGACAAAATTTTGGTGGTGCACCTTATTTTGATTGTTGAAAGTTTCGACCTTATGCAACTACATCCTTCAAATAAATATTGCATATATGGAGTATTAAAATATGGAGAAGTTTTGGTGCAGGCGTACTAAGTGTTGAACGCCCTACAATATGCACAGTTCAATTTCATTCAATTGCACCTTGAAATCGAGAAATGTATATTTAGTGCATTTTGCATTGTTCGTTGTAATTAGACATTGTCGGTTACAATACTGTCATGTTCCCTAAATTTGGTCCTTGCAAGATGAAAGGACATAGCCAGGGCTGCCCTAGGCCAGGAACCTTAGCCCAGGCCTACTCTTGGGCAAGGCCACCTACCCGGCAACGTTAATGGTGTGGTCAAGCCAAGCCATTAGATATTCAAATTCATTCATTAAGAAAAAGAAGCCCACATTGTCTTGGACATTGGGCCTAGATTTCAAGTCCAGCCCCAAGCTTTTAGTGGCTCGGACCTGGGCTACATGGGGCCAGGCTAAGTGCCACCCTTAACAAATTATTAGAGGAACCTTCGGTAATTGGAATTTGTGGGTTCCTTGGAACATGGAAGTTCTATGTCTCTAGAAGTTGAAATTGTTGATATCTAGAAGTTTTGTAATACTAATTTGGTAACCTATGTGAAAGTTCGAAAATGCTGAGCTCAAGCTTCATAATGATCTAGCAAAAGTTCCACAAAGATTTGACCTCACCATTTCTAATAGTGGAAGAAAACTTTAGAGAGAGAGAAGTTGGAGAGAAATGGCACATTTAGGACGTGTCGGATAACAGAAAGAAAGTTATGGGGAGGAAGAAGGAACTTCCCCATGATTGTACAACTTCCGTGTTTGATGCACGTTATTTATACAGTAAAGGAGTTCTCTACCAACTTTCTTAGTCCCTTATGCTTGAGAAAAAAAAATTCCTTCTAAAATGATGAAATTTAAAATAGGAATTGGGCCTTGAAGAAGGCTTCTTCCTCAAACCGATTTTGCCTTCCTCTTTATATTTACATCGCTAAGTTATATTTGTATTGTATTATATCCCAAAATGCCTATATGGTGGTCAGCCTTTCGAATGCCTCCTTGCTAGGCTGGGAAGCCACCGCTCGTGGCTTCTGTGCTCGATTCTAGTGGCAGGAGGCACTCTGGTAGGAAAGCCGACCAATACATAAGCCGGTATCAGTCTAGGAGAGAAGCAAGCTACATACACTATGTTATATATTATATTATGTTATATTATATTATATATTTATATTTAAATAATTAATATATATTTTGAATATATTGAATATATATTATATAATATAACAGATTTTATTATATAATATATAATTATAATATATTTTATTTATATAATAAATACTTACAATACAATATATATTATGTACTATTTTATATTTAATATAAAAAACATTTAAATAGTATTTTATATATAATATTTAAATAAATATAACTATATATTCCAATAGGTTGTCAAACACAAATACCTAAAACTCCTTTAACATTCTAACATGTTGTCAAACACAGACACCCAGAACTTCCTCTAAGATCTTCTTTCTCCGCAGCAAAGAGGAACTTCTGATTGCTAAAGAATATTTACCTTCCAATTATCAAACAAGCCCTTAGATAGAGAAACGGGTTAGTGATACAAGAGAAATGGTTAGAGAGACGAAAACAATACAATTACATAGATAAGGAAAAAGTTTATATAGAGCCGAGGCTCTAAACAATCAAATTAGAGCCCACCTCAAAATTTTTACTAGAAGAGGTTGTCTAGATGCCCAAATATCCTCAAATTGATCATCTCGATATCAAGATACATGAAAATGAGAAAAAAAAAAAAAAATGGATTTCAAGTTTTGGAAATAGTGCATCTTGCAATGCATTTTGGACCGTTAATTTTCAAGATTTTCATAAATCTGCTCGATCTACATTATTTTAAAGCTTTAAATTTTATAATTAAAAATAAAAATATATTTTAAGACGATCACAAAGACTTCCAATAATGAAACCATATTTTTCAGTACTATTTAAAGGTGGGCTACAATTTTATTATTTAGAGCCTCGGCTCTATACAAACCTCACCCTATAGATAAAGGAGTTAAAGGGAATAAGCACATTTAGAGAGGGAATTGATTAGAAAGAGAAAAGGCACGATTAAAGAGCGAGAAAGAGAACTTAAATAGGAGGGATAAATGACATGGTTAGGGAGGAAGGGAGTAGTGAGGATGTTAATAGAGGGAGGAGTTAAAGAGATAAAAGGGCACTCTTATAAAAAGAGGATATGATTAGATATGAAAAAGAGTTAGAGCGAGTTAGAAAGAGAACACGATGGTTAAAGAGATTATTCAAGGGAAAAAGGGATAACTAAAGAGAGAAACAACATGGATAAGAGAGAGAGAGAACGCACACAGTTAGAGATGGAGGAATTAGAGAGAAACGCCACACGTAAAAAGAGAAATAAGTGAGAGAGAGGCTATAGTTAAAGATAGGAAATGTGTAGATAGAGAGGACTTAGTTAGAGAAATACGAGGTTAATTGATTAGTGCTTGATGATTTGTAACGTTAGATCTTAGACTCAATTTCTACCCAGGGTAAAGGTCTCTCCCCATGGACTCACTTAAAAAAAGAATAAGATAGAGAAAAACAAAATGGAAAGTGAAAAGAAGGGGGGAAGTGAATTTTCTGAAAAACAACAAGACAAGGCAACTGCGACGGAGAATAGAAACAACATATTCTTATTTTCTAAGAATCCAAAACTTTCTGAAGCTAGTTTCGTGTAGTACTTCCTGACAGCAAACATGGAAGTACTACAATAAACTGGAATCTATAACTTCTAAAACTAGAACTTCCAGTCCTCAGACGTGCCTTAGATTAGAGCTGGCAATGGATTGGACTGCCCGGGCCTTTCGGTCTTGTCCTAAAAAACTCGGGTTTGGGCGACGAACGTTGGCCCAAGGGTGGGGGTGTGGGGGTGGGGGTAGGGCCAATGCTGGCTTAGCCTAGCCCAGCACAGCCCAACCCTCTTTTTTTTTTTTTCTTTTCTATCTTTATTTTATTTATTGTTGGCTCGGCTGAATTTTTTTTTTTCATTTGTTTTTTAGGATAAGGACTGGGCCAGGGCCAAGCCGGGCCAAGCACTGCCACCCTTACCCTAGATGTGTGAGGATCCAGGGGTACTTCCCGGAGGAGATTTCTAAGCCTTCGGGCTCGTTAGAAGAAGAGTGGGGCCATTATGGTCACTTCCAAATACATGTTGAAAGTTCATTTCGAAGGCGCAACCATCACGAATGGCAGTTTCATTGGTGCTCGGAGGTCTCAGGAAACGACTCCTTTCTCCCTACCCCTTCATTCGCAGATTGGTAAACCCTAATTTACATCTGAACTTCATCTCATGTTTGTCTGTCAGTATTTTAGATTGGAAAAAAATTTCCAGGGCTTATTGTTTGATAATTTACTTCACCAGTTATCCATGCAATTTACATTTTGATCATGGTCGTTGAATTTTCCTGTGAAATCTTATTTCTGTTGAATTTATAATTTTCCTGCGTAATTTGTATTCTTCTTTGTTTAATATTTCTCGAAGATCTTCTCACATGTGTTGTGGTATAGAGCATCTCATTTCTTGTTATTATACCTTAACCTAACTATGGGAAAGTCTGACATTTTCCCTAGGGTTCAATAGAGAAATTGTTTGCCTTATAGCAAAATACTCAATGAAAGTAACTGGGAAAATTGTTAGCTAAACACAAAAGAAGCATGTTTAATTTCACTTTGAAGCTCGAACAGTGACGTTTTTAGTTCATCTCTGAATATACAGCTATTGTAGCGGTATCTAACCAATCCCTGAATATTTTGAAGATGCTCTTACTGTACGAAAACTCAGCGTGTCTGACTCCTACTTAGCCGAGCTAATCGGACCCAAAAACATTTAGGAACTGGCCCAGTCCGGCTTGTCCCGAAGGTTTTTATTTTTTTATTTTTTTAGGACTTGTCCGAGTCGCTTGATAGGACATAATGGCAAACCCAGTTTCGTGTAGCCGACCCCAAATAGTTTGGTTAAAAGCTTTGATGATGATGATGATGACTTTTTTAAACACTCATCCAAGTCTCTGACAGAGTGGAGTTTCCTGACTTAGGCACGGGACTCTAATGAGTCTTGAACCGAGTCCTTGCTATAAACACTGCTATAATTATTTGACTTGTTTGTTTATATGCATTTGATTTTGGTAGATAAGCACATTGGTTTTGGCTGAACATGAAGGGGGATTGGTAAAACCATCGTCTATGAGTTCAGTGGCAGCTGCAAGGGCCATCAGTGAGGAAAATCCCATTTCAATTTTATTGGGTGGAACAGGTCCAACCCTTCAAGAAGCTGCCTCTCATGCTGCTTCATTTCATCCTTCAATTTCTCAGGTAGCTTCTTACTAAATTATAATTGCTTCCCCCAATTATTTATCAGGATTTCATAAATCCTCGGTTTGGTGTGGATTCCTTTTCATTGTTACGATTGCCTTTTTCTCAATTATGGGGCCATGTGTCGCCTCATATGATGATTATGACCTTTCATGAGAGTTTAATTTCTCTTGTAGGAAGCTGATGATCACTTTCACTTTTGTTTATTTGTTTATTTAACAACTACATCAAGTTGCACTATGGTCTGCACAAATTGATGAACTATACCAGGGGAATAATTCATCTATCTTGTGTTTATTTTCTTGTTTTCGTAGATAAGTGATGGTCTTATATAGGAAACCCTAATTGTGTTATCCAAAGATATATGAAGTGTAATTGAGAAACTTAATGTTAAATACTCGTTTGCTCTAGAATCTAAAGGTGTTAAAATTAACGGGACTAAGATAGATTATATGGAATGCAAGTTTAATAATAGGAGTAGAGGGGAGGAAGCAGTTAAGATTGATGGCCAGAAAATACCAAAATAGCGCACTTTCAATATCTTGGATCAATAATCCAGGAAAATGGAGAGATTGAGGAAGATGTTGCACATAGAATAAGAGCTGGGTGGGTGAAGTGGAGATGTGCAACCAAAATTTTATGCGATCGCCTCATACTAATGAAGCTGAAAGGCAAGTTCTATAGGACAGCTGTGAGACCAACTTTGCTTTATGGGGCAGAATGTTGGGTAGTAAAAATAATAAACATACCCATAGAATGAGTGTAGCAAAGATGAGGATGTTGAGATGGATGAGTGGCAAGGGAATTCAAAATTAATACATTCAGAAAAATTTAGGTGTGGCACCAATAGGTGATAAAATGAGAGTGAGTAGATTTAGGTGGCTGGCTATGTGTGGCGCAGACCCTGTACAACACCTATTAGGAGGTGCGAGTCAGTTCAAATGGAAGGCTCAAAAAGGGTAAGGGGTAGGCCCAAAAGGACATGGTTGGAAGTAGTGAGAAACGATATGGGGACTTATGGCCTCATTGAAGGTACCTTAATAGAGCAAAATGGTGGACCAGGATTTGTGTAGCCGATCCCAATTAGTTGGGTAAAGGCTTTTATGATGATGACTTTCTTGCTCCTTGTTTGCATGTGTGCAGTTGTACTACTTCTAGATAATTTTTCTGATTTGTTCACACTGGTTTATATGCATCTTTGGAATGTTGTAAGAGGTGTATTTTATAAGTTGCACTTTCTTGTATAGGTGCTTATTGCTGATTCGGAGAAATTAAAGCATCCTCTTGCTGAACCTTGGGCAGATTTGATCCATTTAGTTCAAGGGAAGGGTGGCTATTCTCACATAATTGCAGCTTCAACTTCATTTGGAAAAAATGTAATGCCACGAGCTGCAGCGCTTTTGGATGTTTCTCCCATCACTGATGTTACTACAATTTCTGGACCTCAGTTATTTGTCAGGTTTTCTTCCTTTTGTCTTTCTTTTTCACTGAAAGAAATCCTGTTTAGCTGGAATATATGTTTGTTGCATTTGATTTCATATGCTCCTTTCGCTGCTAAAGATGATTAGTTAAGTTGCTATCCTGAACTTGATAACTTCTTGAAAGATCCATGGGTTGCCCATGTGGTGGTGCAGATAGACATCCAAAGGTATGTTGTAACTACTAGCTGATGACCAATGAAGGTCCATGTTATTGTGGTTCCTCGTGAATCATCTTTTTATGTTAATGATCTTGCCAGATATTTGTTCTACCTTTAGTACCTTTATAAATGGGATAGGACTTGAGAGCCTCCTCGTGTACAATGGGTATTGTTTGCAAGATGTCACATTGTTATCTCTGTAATATTATGAATGTTAATTCGTGCACTTGGTTTGCTGTTTGTTTCTACTTTCTTTTTGTATTAGCAAAATTATGTTTTCCACAAAAGAACAGAGATATTTGAGATGTCTACATCTATTGAGTGGAATTTTTAACCAAAGGGATAATTTTGTGGGATTAGCTCAAGTTGGTTCATGTGTTTATTTGGAAAACTTATCATAATTATTATATTCCTTATGTGTGAATATGTGAAGAACATTGATAGAATAGCTGTCGAAAACCTTCCTCAGATCTCCTAATCTGATCCAATATTCTCTTGCACTACAGCTTCCTTGGATTGCTATGACATTTAATTTCTTTTTCACTCTTAAATCATGTGAAGTTGATTTCTTTGTTAGTACCTTTAGGGTTTTGCAACTCACCACCTTCTTTTATTCTGCATAGGAGTGAATTATTCCACTAATGCTTTTATCACAAGGTTCAACATAGCTACTTCATTTATTTTCAGAAAAAACAGTTCTATGGAATCTTAAGTTAAGTTATTGTATTTTTTTTATAGGAAGTATTGAAATCATTGCATGCAGTCTTCTCATGCATCTTGTACACTGTTATCTGAGATGAAGATCTTGGGCTTCTCCAATTTGATGAGTGATTATGTTGATCTTTTCTCAATCTCGCAGACCAATTTATGCTGGCAATGCTCTCTGTACCATCAGATACGCTGGTTCTGATCCCTGCATGTTGACCATTCGTCCTACTGCATTCCCTTTATCTTCAATGACTTCTGGTCGAGTTTCAGATACTGCTGCCATATCTCAGGTGGATCTCTCAACCTTTAGTGAAGGTCTGTTTTGAATTTTCACTCGATTCGGTATCGCAATTTAGTGATTTTATTTGTCACTGCATTGTGAATGAATAGAGTGAGTAGATATTTAGATTCTCATAAGGTGCCTCACGATCTTGTGGATTGTCTCTTTATGTGTTGAATAAAGCGCTGTAATGCATCTTGTGGAAGATGTATCCATATGGAACTGTGGAAGTCTTAGTACCTAATTCCCATCCTTCAACTTTAATCAATTCTTAGATTGATAAAGTTAGTTTTGTTTTTTCTTTTCTTTTTTTAGTAGTTTATATGGGTACATGGCTCTATACTATGGCTTATTCTATGGACACTGGAGTTGAGGCATTGGTGGATTTGATTGTTTTACAAAAATCTGGTTTTGCCTCCCACAATATGTGCCCTGCACTACTCTAAATGTTCCTATTGGTTCTCAATGAACCACGGCTATCATGTGGCCCCAGTCAACCTCTTCTCCTACAGATTAGCCATATCCAGTGGTGGAACCATTGAGGGAAGTTCCACCAATCACTATTGTTCTCCTTCAGCCCTGCATGACTTCACAACTCCCGAGTTTAGAGCTTAATATCGAATCAACTCAGTGAAATCTAGCCAGTAACGGGAGGGTGAGATACGGGGTTCTTGCGATATCAGGAACACGCACCTTTTGGGAATATCACCCAGCGAAGGTGAGCAATAAGTTCCATGGTTAGAAGGGACCAGGAGTTTGGTTGGCTGGAATGATCATGAATTCCAGCTGCTAACTATGACGAATGTGCTAACTATGTATATGATGCCGAAAATGGACCGGTTTGATAGCACCCCTCAATTAGAATTAGCAAAAGCAATGTCTCCTTGCATAATATGGATTCCAAACATTCATGATCTGTATGTGAATGAGTCGAATTACTTATCCCCCAGTTTATTAGTGAACCATCTCTCCAGAGATTGTGAAAGATGTTCCACTAGAAATATTCTTGTTATTGCTTCGACTCATATTCCCCAAAAAGTGGATGCCGCTCTAATAGCTCCGAATAAATCAAATACATGCATTAAGATACGAAGGCTTCTTATTCCATAACAACGAAAGCACTTTTTCATTCTTTCATATACTAGGGGATTCCACTTGGAAAAGAAGATGTTCCATACTAACGGATTAGGGTCCATAACAATGGGTTCCAATGCACGAGATCTTGTAGCACTTACCAATGAGGCCATATCAATTAGTATTACACATAAGAAATCAATTATAGACACTAATACAAATAGATCAGCTCTTCATAGACAACGCTGGGATTTGCGATCCCAAGTAAGATCCGTTCAGGATCTGGGAACCTTTTCTATCAAATAGGAAAGTCCTTTGCACAAAATTTACTTCTAAGTAATTGCTCCATGATCCTATATCTACCTATATGAAGAAGAAATCATGTAAGGAAGGGGATTCTTATTTGTACAAATGGTACTTCAAACTTGGAACGAGCATAAAGAAATTAACGACACTTCTTTATCTTTTGAGTTGTTCTGCTGGATCGGTTGCTAAAGACCTTTGATCTCCACCCGGACCCGATCAAAAAAGTTGGATCACTTCTTATGGATTTGTTGAGAATGATTTTGATCTAGTTCATGGCCTATTAGAAGGCGCTCTGGTGGGATCCTCACGGACAGAAATTAGATTGCAGTCAATTTGATAATGATCGAGTGACATTGCTTCTTCGGTCCAAACCAAGGAATCCGTTAGATATGATGCAAAATGGATCTTGTTCTATTGTTGATCAGAGATTTCTATATGAAAAATACAAATCGAAGTTTGAAGAAGGGGAAGGAGAAGGCACCCTCGACCTGCAACAGATAGAGGAGGATTTATTCAATCACATAGTTTGGGCTCCTAGAATATGGCGCCCTTGTGGCAAGCTATTCGATAATAAATCACATAGTTTGGGCTCCTAGAATATGGCGCCCTTGTATCGAAAGGCCCAATGAATCAAGATTTCCCTATCGGTCCAGGTCATTTCGGGGCAAGCAGATCATTTCTCATAAAGAGGATGAGCTTCAAGAGAATGATTTGGAGTTCTTGCAAAGTGGAACCATGCAGTACCAGACACGAGATAGATCCTCCAAAGAACAATCAAATAAGCCAATTTATTTGGGATTCCTCATATCCATTTTTTTTCCTATTCAAAGATCAGCCCTTTGTCTGTGTGTTTGCATGTCGAGAATTCTTTGTAGATGAAGAGTTGTCAAAGTGGCTTATTACTTCCCCTACACATTCTCCTACATCTATATATGAACGCTGGTTGATCAAGAATACACAAGAAAAGCACTTCGAATTGTTGATTCATCGCCAGAGATGGCTTAGTACCAAAAGTTCATTATCTAATAATGGATCTTTCCATTCTAATACGCCACCCGAGAGTTATCAGTATTTATCAAATATCTTCCTATCTAACGGAACGCTATTGGATCAAATGGCAAAGACATTGTTGAGAAAGGGATGGCTTTTCCCGGATGAAATGAAACATTTGATTCATGTAACAGGAGAAAGATTTTCCGTTCCTTAGCCAGAAAGAAAAGATATGTGGCCATGAAATAGGGATTGCCCACCTTCCAGCCAACCAAACTCCTGGTCCCTTCTAAGGTGGGCAATAAGTTCCATGGTTAGAAGGGACCAGGAGTTTGGTTGGTTGGAATGATCATGGATTCAATGGGGCATTGGACTGTGTAAAATAAAGTTACGAAATGATGTAAATTGGAGTTCACGGGTGATTTAGCTGGGGGTGTGTTTGAAATGTTATGTGGTAAAAAGAAGCGTGTTAGACTTGGAGCCATCGAGGCTACTCCTAGGAGTAGTTTAGGAAGGTAAGGGGAGTGGGGAACGAGCAGAAGTGACACTTGAGAATCTGGAAATTTATTTAGTGGTCGTCTGTTGCCGTAGGAGAGTGAGGGCTATAGGAGTCGCTTAAGTCAAGTTTTAAGGTGAAGGAAAGCAGTGAGGACATGAAAGCTTCTACCATCTGATTATGAGGTGCTCTAATACCTAGCCAACTGCTTCTATGGTTTTGTGCCTTGATTGTTGAAAAATACTCAAATAAATAAAAGCACAAAATTAAGTGTTGGAATTCCTACTCAATTTTGCATCCACGTGTCCATTGTAATCTCCAGTCAATGATGTTATATGTTGGTTTTCTATTGCTTATCATCTAAAATGGTGAGGATCTCTTCTAATGCTAATTTAGTTTGGGAATCTATGCAATTTGAATGGGCACAATTCTTACAGGTTATCAATACCTTGCTGCAATGATTGTAGTTTATGTTGATTGTACAAATGCTGTCTGATTATATCTTTATTCCAATGTCCATGCAGAAAGTAATGGGAAATCAAGATGGTTAAATCATACGTCTCAAGAAACGGAATGTCCAGATTTGGGTAATGCTCGTATTATAATCACTGGGGGACGGGGGTTGAAGAATGCCGAGAATTTTAAGTTGATAGAGAAGCTTGCACATAAATTGGGTGCTGCTGGTATGAGTATTTCGTTTCCATTGGTGCCTTTGCTTCTTAATACTGTATTTGATGTTTTTTGTTGATTGTAGATTCACTAGATGCCATCCTTCATCCTTGTATGTTGTTGGACTAATAAATTCGATAACTTTAACTCCCTTAAAACCCTTTAATTCAAACTTTAAGTCTCACGCCTTTTCAGCCTCTTATCAACCACTCCTCGATATCGGAAACCTCAAGAGTACACATAAAATCCTACTGTCCTAAACTTTTTTGGAAACCTAAACCGTTTAAAACTCCCGAATCCGGATCTAGTTAGAACTCTAAACCTATCCTAATCATTTGTTCCGAAGCCCATCTAAATAGTCACACTCGCCCTTGGTCCTAAATCACTCGCCCTATCCTTAGAACTAAACTAATAAGTTGAATGGCTTCTTTATTGGTGTTAGCTCTGATGGTTGAAATTAAGATCTTTTAGTTTTCGGTTTCTCCAAGATGATGTTTGTTGACATTTGCTCTTTCCTTTGCCTAGTTGGTGCAACTAGGGCTGCTGTAGATGCTGGATATTGTCCAAATGAACTACAGGTAACTTTGTTTTCTATTATAAAAAATCTTTTTTTCTTGGATAGAATGGAAGAAAATTTTATTATTATGCTTTTAGCAACACCATTATGTGGTTGTTTGAGATGATGAATTATACCTTCTTTTAAGTGGCAATGTAACCAATTAATATGGACACTTGTCGTTGGGTGACCCGGGACTAAGGATGACTTAATTTTGAGTTACAGCTTCTGACCCACAAATTTTTTGTAGTAACTCATTTATCTTCTTTAAGTAACTGGATAACATTCTAAAGTCACAAAAAACTCATGTGAACATCTTCTTCTCATTGAGTAAAGTACTTTCCTCCTCTGTCAAGGTGGGCCAAACTGGTAAAATTGTTGCCCCAGAATTATACATCGCATTTGGCGTTTCTGGAGCTATCCAACATTTAGCTGGAATGAAGGACTCTAAGACCATTGTTGCTGTCAATAAAGATGAAGATGCAGCAATCTTTCAGGTAATGTGAAAGCCAAATCCTTACCATGGAAATCTAACATGTTTGCTTTAGACTTGGTGTCTGAATATTGGAGAAATAAATGTGCCTGTAATTTCCCTCTGTTAGACAAAAGCATTTTATTGTTATTTCATTGAATTGTTTTGTGCTCTTGCCCTTTCTGACTGACATGGATCGACCATGTGTGTGCTATTGTTGCCAGTATACGACCATCTTGTCCTAGATTTCAGAATTCACCAGACCATTTAATTTTCTTCCACAACCAAACCATACCTTTGAAAGATCTTCATTGCCAAAATACTATCTTGGAATTAACAATTTCAGATTTACAAAAGATTTACAAAATCAACAATTTGTGGTCCTGAGCTATAGTATTCCAGCCCATTTACATCCTTTACGGGACTTCAGAAACCTTCCCATAAGAAACAAGCCCTTAGCAAACCTCACTGCTTAATGTTTTGCCGATTAATTCATCTCTCTGGATGACATCTGATTTGTTCAATTCTGTTTATGGGTGACTGGTGTTCCATTGTGCAAAATTTATATCTTTCATCCACTTGCATGCAAGTTTGTGCGCTTGCTCTCATATGAGAGATCAAAGTGGACTATGGATGAGAGAACAAAATCCTAGGGGATTATACATGAGGGAGAGAGATCGAAACGAATTATGGATGAGAGAACAAACAAACATGAGAGAGAGGGAGATTCTGCCCTGATGCTCTTCTTGGTTCCATTTGCAGGTTGCTGATTACGGGCTTGTGGGAGACCTCTTTCAGGTGATTCCGGAGTTGCTTGAAAAGCTCCCTGAAAAAAAGTAGTCCCATTATTTATTCATGTGATTCTCATTCATATGGATAGAACAATGCACAAAGTGATGGGCACTTTTCAATCCATACTAAATAACGCTGTATCTTATGCCTTCTGTTATTTTCTTTAGAAATTGGACTGTCAAATTTGTTTGAAACATCAAAAACAAATATTAATGGGGCCCTAAAATTCAACTATGTAACATCTCATTTGGAGCTTTTGATCTAATTTTAAATATCCCATCATCCCTTAGATCAAATTTCAAATAGCCCATCAAAGTATACACAATCATGGGTCATAGACTGTCAGGAAATCCTTCAATTCACAGCTTGGGTGACATGTAAGAAACCCTGGTGACTGTAGAAAATCTATTTTCGCCCTTGATTATTGAACTTTTAGTCTTAAAAATAGTGCATATTTGGCAGATCATTGAATACTCGAAATGGACAATCCAATAGACAAAATCCAAGACAGACTGGCCGGAAATCCTTTTTGTTTTGTGTTTTTGTTATCATATCCATGAATGTCAAATTGAAGATGATCGATTTGCAGGTGTTGCAATGCTGGAACTCGAAATGTAGCTTTATAAAGCTGCAGCCCTTTGAAGAACTTTTCCTATTCAAATGGAATTGTTATTTGGACACATTTTTTAAGGGATTGTATACAATGAAAAACTAGTTCATCTTCTATCCTATTAGCTAGGCCGTCCATTTTTAGGATTTTCAAGTGTTTACAGATTAGTTTGATCGTCACCATTTTTGAAACTTTAAATGTCATAATTAAAGGCAACAATATATTTTTCATATCATCGCAAGGCTTTGCGGCGCCAAAACCGCATTTACGGCTAGTCTTGGGGTGCACCTTCTTTCAATAGTATAAGGTTGACACCTTATACAAACCCCACCTTTTGCCTATTGTACAAGGTCACAATTGCTTATAACCATCCCATGTGAAATTTGATTGCTTGTGTGTCACTACGTTTTAAAAAAAAAAAAATTGAACTTTGCACTTGGTCAATAGAATAAATGTAATCACCCAATTTCACATCCAAAGGTCAATATTAATTGTGGTTACATTCAAAAGGTAAATGGTCTCATTGTATGTTTTTCCCTTTCTTCTTTTTTTTAAATATGTACTTTGCACGTGTGCAGCTAGAATGCAAGTTTTAGTATTCTCACCCATGTTTAGGGTAGGAATAGCAAAACATATAATTTGGAATTGCATCCCACAAAATGAAAAAAGTTCATATAAGGTTGCAACCTTAAAATGTAAACTCACAAATCCATCAAAAAAAAGTTTGTTTTAATATTTAAAAACCTTCTAATTGATCATCTCGATATCGAGATGTATGAATATAAAAAAAAAAAAAGATTATGTGTCCCATATATAGTGCATCTTGCAACATATTATCTAGACCGTCCATTTTGAAGATTTTCATATGTTTGTAGATCTACTTGATTTTAACTATTTTTAGAGTTTAAATTTTTATAATTAGATACGAAAATAGATTCTCAAATAATCTTAAAAAAAAATTTACATCAAAATTACATGTTATGATAAAATTTGGTGGTGTGCCTTAATTGGATTGTTTAAGGTTAACCTTATAGAAACTACACCCCTTGTGCACTCCCGTGGGAGATTTGTTTCCTTGGCAATAGTCCTGCTTAGAGAGATTTGCTTAATATTAAAATTTGGGATCCACTAGAAGAGTTAGATATTAGGAATTTCACAAAAAAAAAAAAAAGCTTAAGTTTTTTGTGAGGGGAAAATACTCTTCTACAATTTTAGAGGGGGTGTGGTTTCTACAAGATTATTGTCAAGGAAACAAATCTCCCACGAAAACCCAATATATAATGAAAAAATATATAATGAGACCATTTACCTTTGGTATAAGATGGTCGCAATTGTTATTGAAAAATGAATGTGAAATTGGGTAGTTGTATTTATTTCATTGATCAAGTTAAAAGTTTAAAATTATTTTTTTTTTTTGTGATATAACCAAGCTCTCAAGTGTTACATCCTCTTTATACCATAGGTAAGTGGTCTGACTGTATACAATCCCATACATAATACACATGAACCCAAAAACCAAAGTCAAGAGTGACATTTTAGAAGAGATACATGGGTTTCCTTTCCTTGCTTCGACCCATCTCTCTTCGTATGATAAAATCGCGAGAAATTTACCGAAATATCCTTTTCATTTGCTGTTATTAAGTTTTTTTTAGAAAATGTTAATACTACACTCAAACCTTTTTATGCACTTTTCAATTATTTTTTCCCCAAAATGCCCTAACTTTGGAACTTGAGATTTTAAAGTACTATACCTTTTTCATAAACTCCAGAAAAAGTTTCGAATTTTCAAAATCTAAAGTTTTTTTTCAATTTTTTTGGTGTGCATAAGCAAAAATCTAGATTTTGAAAATGAATATTTTTTTTGGCAGCCCAAAAACTCAAAAAAAAAAATTTTGATTCTCAAGATCCAAAGTTTTTCTTTGGATATTTATCCTTGTGCATCAATATAAAAAACTTCGGATTTCAAAATCCGAAATATATTTTTGCACCCAAACCTACTAAAGTCGATGACAATTTTTTTCGAAGTTTGGATCAGGGACCCACACTCCAAAGTTAGAAAATGATATCAATGTCGTGATGTCCGTAAGCTACCAATGCTCCCTCCCGACAATGATGGCTAAATAACATTCCACCGCTTATAAAGTTAACATAAGGCAAAATATATAATGAGATCATTCATCTTTAGTACAAGGTGGTCACAATTAATCTTGACCATTGGATGTGAAATTGAGTAGCTGCATTGATCAAGCTCAAAGTTCAAAATAAATTTTTTCGAAGTTTGTGACATACATGCTATCAGATTTCACATCGGATGGTTATAATTAATTTTGACCTTTATGTATCAAAGATAAATGATCTCATTGTATACAATCCCTTAACATAATTGTGAAGAATCTCAAGTTTCTGGTAAGAGACTCAGTGTTCATCAATTGTATGAATGTACAGATTTGTCTTTTATAAACAAATGACATGAGAAAAAATAGAAATAAATCACAGACGTCTAAACTATATCCAAATTTACCATAAAATACATAATATTTACCTACCATTACTATATTTACTTATTACAATACACACCTCCATATTAATAGGATATACAATATAAACTTTCCTTTCACAATAATATCCAGCATACAAAATGAGGGAAGTTTGAGAGATACTATGAACTGCCTGTACATGTAAGACAAGGAACAAAGCAATTACATGTTAAATTAAGTGTCCCAATAGCATCAGAGACTTCACTAATTATTTTAGTATGTTATTTTGCACGGGTGTGTGGAATTTTTACTATAAAGGTGTAGTTCACTAACATTTGAAAAGGAAAATGAAGTGCAGTTTGAAGATCATTAAAGTCGCTTAGTTTTTTTGTACCTTTACAAATTTTCAGGCTGTTAACAGTTTTGAGAGAAAAAATTTCAAAACCTGTAGTATAAGATCGTTAAAGCATGATATCCCTGTGATGGCACTGACTGCTACTGCTACACATTGCATTTGACAAAGACATCATAAAATCCTTGCACATGTAAAAAGGAAACAGAGATCGTGATCACCCCATTCTTTCATCCAACTCTTTGTTTCACAATGAGCTGATTATCCTGGCACTCCATTGTAACTGGCGTCATTCAATCTTTAATTTTTTGGGAGACATAGTTTTGTGCCAGCAACTTTTGATTTGGCGATTTTTGGCATTGGGATTCACGTAAAACCGTAACCACTAGGCCAGGAATCCCTGCAATCACTTAGTGATGATAGCAATTAAGGTGTTAAGTTGTGGGCTCTGATTCATTTATTGAATTGATGTCTGCATAATAGAAACAGAGTAGCTGATGCTGAAAGCAAAAGAAAAAAGAAAATCAAGTTCTGAAATGTCTGATGCAGATGAGAGCTCCGAAGATGAAATTGAGATTCAAATGATGAAGCAAGCTCAGATAGAGATAATAGTATAAAGGACAATGAATTGTCGGTTGACTTCTGAAATTTGTTTCCAAATTCCTTGTTTTGATAATTTTAACATGTAAATAATTTTGAAATGTTTTCTTTCTTCAGTTACCTAAGGCGAATTCAATGTGGATCATCCTGTAAATGACCAGGCTTTGTACAATTCAGATGAGAAAATATCTGATCCTACTGAATCAGAGGAGAAATTGATAGTTACAAAAAACAGTTAGAAGAAGTTCCTACTATTATATCTGTACCTACCGGAAAGGAGACGGAGATAATCTGGTTACCTCCATAAGTGCGGTAACAGATTTGCAGCTTATCACAACGTTATGTGCTAATATGCCATGGCATTAGTTGACCATCTGGTTATCTTTCAATATGCTTATGGACAAAATAAGGGAAGAGGTAATTTTTCAGTTAGGTGCTTGTTACCAATGCCTGTTACATATCAGCTGGGGCTAGGTGCATACTGGGAAGCATTCTTTAAGGGAAATAATGTGCATTGTGAACTTTCATACTGTATCATTTTGTGGTTAACACACAATAGGCAAATATGTTTTCTATTTCAGAATATGTGATTTATCACCATTGCTATTTTCTCTTGGCGTTTCTTTAGTCATGGGTTTTTCACAAATGAGGATCAATTGAGCAGATAAAAAAATTCCCCTAGGTTAAATTATGAAGGGGCAGCCTTGCTCGACATGTTAGAACTTAGATATAAAGGTTCCATAAGGGTAGGTGATAATATGGTATGCACATTTTGTATGACCTAAATGAATGTAAATCTTGCAATCTATATCTCTGGTCTCTGTAAGTCTTTGGATACTCTACACTCACACAATTCCAAGTGGTCTGGCCTGTCCTTTTGCAGCTTAAAAATTTGCAGAAATCTGATGATCTATAAAGGCAAAATGAATACCCTAAAACTGAAATTTAAAAGGAAAAAGTTTATATAACGTTGCAACCTTAAAATATAGAATTACATATACACATCAAAAAACCATCAGAATTGTTTGTTTGATGTTGAAAAAACCTCTAGTTCATCCTCTCGAAAATCTATTTTTTTAGTTTAAAAATTTATAATTATATATGAAAATAGATTTTGAGATAATCATAAGAATATTTTACAGCAAAATTACATGTTATGATAAAATTTGGAGGTGCACCTTAATTGAATTGTTTAAAGTTACAACCTTATAAAAACAACACCCAATTTAAAATGGTACCAGTCCTTTATAATCTTTTTTTTTCTTCTGTAGATCTAATCAAAATCCTTCAAAAAGAAAACAAAACAAAAAGAACTTCCACTATTTCAAACTTCAATTTAGGGGCATTCCTTTCAAGTCTTCATAGATCATCAGATTTACGCAAATATTTAAGCTCCGAATATCCTGTCCAAAAAACTTTCCTAGTATATGTAAATATGAAAAATATTACCATAGCTGACAATCTCAACCATAAACTTTTCAGCAGATTAACTTAAAATCAGATAATAACTAACGTCAGTTTCTGAGAACTAACAATAACTACATAAGTATGATCTAAAACTTTCCTTTCACCCCAAACACACATAATGAAATGGATTAGGCATTGAATTCGAGAGGTGAATTCAATTAAATCACTATACAAGTTGTTTCAAAATAAGCTTGCGACTTGCTCAACCGAACATTGCTGAGATATTGAAATTATAATTACAGTAAGAAAAGGCATTTATTTGGATTTTGGGTTTAAAGAGATTGTTTGCATATGTAATTTGTGAAGGGGAAAATTAGCACATATATTGCTTTGTTGGGCAAAGAAGATGATAAAACTTGTGATATGTGTTTCGTAACTGCTCATTACTACGAATATATGTGAGTGAGCGCAGAGAGACACCAACTTGCACCGGAAAAGTTTAAATTTCATTTGCCACAAGTTGTGACCCACTTCAACATCCCGAGAATCCACAACCAAAACACATAACCTATCAACCATATCATACATCAGACAAAAGTTCAAAAAAGAAAAATACAGCGAGAGAAGTCTAGATTAAATCTGAGGCATATCTAGATTTAGTTTCCAGGAATTAGAGCTTTTTTGGGGATTTTGCTGTGGTCTTCTTTGGGGACTTTGGCTCTCCAGATTTCTCAGTCTTCTTGGGGAGGAGTACAGAGTGAATGTTAGGGAGGACACCACCACTGGCAATGGTGACGCCAGCAAGGAGTTTGCCAAGCTCCTCATCATTCCTCACAGCCAATAGCAGATGTCTTGGGATGATGCGGTTCTTCTTGTTATCCCTCGCAGCATTACCAGCAAGCTCAAGAACCTGTTATTACCACCACAATATATAGGAATGGATCAGAATGCAAGCAACAATAGCAACCACCACAGACAGAGAGAGAGAGAGAGCACGCAGAAATGGCAATTTAAGAGAAAGATGACAAAGGACTTTTATAGAGAGAGAGAGAGAGAGAGAGAGAGAGAGAGATCAAAACAGGCTTTCACCAAGAGAGAAATATCACAAACGCTTTCAGGAGTTAGCCTTCAGACGTGACTTGAGATTTGAGAAAGAGGGAGAGATAGAATGCGTGTATCCAGATAGAATAGCAACAGAGAGAGAGGAAAACTTACGATTTCAGAGAGAGAGCAAAACTTGTGATTTCAGAGAGAGAGAGAGATATATATATATATATATATAGGGACACTAAAACAAGAGACTTACAGAGGATTAAACTGAGAGAGATGACGATATAGAAACGTAGGGAGCAAATCAAGCCATTTCTAAAGTGAAAATCACAGCAATTCCAACAGACACAGACAATGATAAAGATATTGAATCAGAGTACAGATAGAACCAGAAATAATGAGATAAGGGCCGGACACACACACACAAAAACACAATCAAAGGTCGAGCAGTAGCGCATTATGACATTTCTGAACCTAAGAGTTGATAGATCAAAAAACAACAGAGGCAAAAATGAAGAAAAAAAAATGAGAGAGCGATCACCTCAGCAGCGAGGTACTCAAGAACAGCTGCCAAATAAACAGGAGCACCAGTCCCAACCCTCTGAGCATACCTCCCCTTCTTCAAAAACCTAGCAATCCTACCCACTGGAAACTGAAGCCCTGCCTTCACAGACTTGGACACAGACTTCTTCTTCACTCCACCCTTTCGACCCCCAACACTCTTTGCAGCCTTGCCCGATTCCATTGTTTAGAGAGAGAGAGAACAAATTCTAGAGTGAGAGAAGAACAAATTCTAGGAGAGAGAGAGAGAGAGCGAAATGAGGGAAACGCAAAACACTGAAATTGAGAGATGCGCGGGATTAAGCTGGTTTGAAAGTTTTGAAGCGATGATATTTATAGCAGGGGGCTTGAGGGTTTCGGCTTTGTCGAGGGCGAGATCGGACGTTCGAGATTGGACGTCCTTAGTGATCCGTGGCTTCCTTATCTGGCCAATGGGGTGCGAGAGTTTCTAATGTGTGGGGTCGGAATGGTTTTCTGGCTTCAGTGGGAGATGTGATGTGATAAATTAAAAAAAGCACCCTTGTGAGGGAAAAGAAACACAAAACTATACATTCATCAAAAGTAAAGGCCCAAAAACTTCAATTTTTTTCCGGCTTTTTTAAGTTTCGACAAATGACTCGATGAATAAATAAGGGAAATTTATTAATTTATCTACGAGAGATTACTGATTTAATATTTTAATTATATCTTTGATTTCGAAACACACATAAAAAAACAATGATCTTAAGCTAGATATTAGGGGTGGCAATGGATCGGGACCCGGACCCAATGGCCGCACCTGACCCCTGTCCAAGGATGTGGGGGTACGGGTATGGGTCCAATTATTGATCCCAATGGATCAGGTTCGGATCCAACTATTGGACCCAAATACTATTCAGGTTCAGGTCCATGTGGACTTGACCCGACCCACTTTATTATATAATATCAGTAAGATTATAGGTCATCATATATCTTTTCAATACTTCCCTTTATGTCATTTTAGGTATTCTTCTTTTTCTTTTAGAGCCTTCTATTTGAACTAAATCAACCTTCCTAACAGCTGTTGTTCTAGATGGACACTACACATGACCAGCCCACCTAAGTTTATTTTACCTCATCGTTATTGTCTATCGGGCATATCTCTAAGTTCCTTAAGATGTATTCTTATTAAATCGTACCATTTATTATTGTGCCACTCATATACCTCGTCATCATCATCTCAACTATACTCATTACATAGACATATTGTTTCTTGTCTGCCCAACATTATATCCCACAAATGCATTACAACTATCTTATAAAACTTCCCATTCAATTTTACTGATATGCGGTGATTGCATAAAACTCTTTAAGCACATGTCCACTTTGCCCATCCTACTCTAAGTCGATGTGCGACATCTTCCTCAATCTCTCCATTCTCATATATTATCTATCCTAGATATAAAAAATAATATCTTTTAGGTACTTATTGGCCGTCCATCTTAATTATTGCCTCATTTATACTTCTATTATCTCTAAATTTAAATTCTATACATTATGCTTTAGCTTTGCCAATTGTAAAACCTTTAGATACCACAGCATCCCTCCATAGTGGAAACTTTTTGTTGACATCAGCTCTAGTATCAACAATTAAAAGCATGTCATATGTGAACAACATACACCTCTAGATGCTCAATTAACTTGTCCATAACCAAAACATGAGTTCATACATTGAATTGTATGAATATGTATTTACATTTTTCTAAGGGTGTGGTTTAGATATTGTTGCATTCTTATAGAAGTTAGTTGCAATGTTATGTATTATTTATTTTAGCTTAATCACGTAGATTTGACACATACTTTGAGATATTAAAACATGGCATGACTTTTAAGAGAGTATGAAATCTACTTTGTCCAATAGCATAGATGGTGTAGATTTGTGGAACCTACATACAAGATTACAACACTATGTAAGTTTTTTTTATAAAGAAAAAAAATTATATAAAGCCGCAACCTTAAAATATAAAACTAAAGATGCACTTAAAAAATCATCAGAAAAGGTTGTTTTAATATTTAAAAATCCTCTAATTGATTATTTTGACATCGAGATGTATGAATATAGAAGAATGAAAAGAAACCAATTTTGAGTCTCAAAAATAGTGCATCTTGCAGCACATTATCTAGATCATATATTTTCAAGATTTTCATATGTTTATAGGTCTACTAGATTTTAACCATTTTTTTAGTTTAAAATTTTAGAATTAGATATGAAAATAGATTTTCCGATAATCCTTGGAATCTTTTACACCAAAATTACATATTTGATAAAATTTGGCCATGTTTGATAAAATTTGGCCATGTTTGGTAAAATGTGGGGTATCATGCGCTCTTTTTACATTAGTATATGTAATTTTGAGTATAGTTAGCGAATAGCGACAAACCATAGTTACGTAATTAAGAAAAGGGAAAAGTTTGTATAGAGCCTAGGCTCTAAACAATCAAATTAGCTACCTCAAAACATTCACTAGAAGAGGTGTTTTTGATGCCTGAATATTATCAAATTGATCATCTCGTCATCAAGATGTATGGACATGAGAAAAAAATGAATTTCAAGTTTTAGAAATAGTGTATTTTGTAACGCATTTTTGGGCCATCAATTTTCAAGATTTTCAAGTTTTCATGGATCTGAACGATCTACTCTACTTCTTAAGCTTCAAACTTTATAACTAAATACGAAAATATATTTTAAGGCTACCACAAATATTTCCATTATTGAAACCATATTTCTCGATACTATTTGAAGGTGGGCTCAAATTTGATTGTTTAGAGCCTCTGCTCCATACAAACGGCACCCTAAAGAAAAAGAGGGAGCGGTGGCATGTGCATAGGTGACTTCTAAATCAATGGAAAATGATTAGGAAACAAGTTATAAATAGTCCAAGATCTTGAAGTCTGTTTTCAAATAAAAAAAATGTCAAAATAAAAAATTCACCTTTTAAAATAACAAAAAGTGCATTAAAGTTTCCGCCTAAGGTCTGGTTTTACATATCTCTATCTTTAAATATTTATAAATCATTTTTTAAAACTTAAATTGAGGTAAGAACCTTCAAATATATTTTCAGTTATTCCATAGAGTGGATGCACCACTATGACCACTTCGTGTAATAAAAGCCCTAATATGCTTTAAACAAAGCATTATTCCATAGACATTTGCCTGCAACAAGTATTAAAAATGAGATACGATCTTGCGGCGAGAATCACTCTAAGGAAATCCGATGATGCTGGGCTATGGACCAGCACAAAGATTTAAAGAAGTAAAATGTTAAAATAAGGCTTAGAATTTATAGAAAAAAAAAGAAAGTTTTACATCAAAACTCACCGAAAATTACAGTTTTAGCATTGAAATACCCTCAAATCAATCATCTCCATATTGATCATTATTGTTGTTAAAAAAAAACAAAAGATTCAAGCCCTAAAAGTAGTGTACGTTGTTGCAACACATCATCTAGATCATCCATTTTCAAATATTCATGGATATGCAAGATCCGTACTGTTTTATGAGCTACAAATTTCATAATCAGTGTTGAAAATTGATTTTAGAGCTCTCATAAGGATTTCCCATGCCCGCCAAGGTGAAACTTTACTTTTTTCATAAAGCCTAGACCTTAATAGAAATTGCATCATGTAAAGAATAATAACAAAAATAAATAAAACAAGCTACAATTATGGTTCTCACATAATATGAGGTGTGTGTGTGGTTATTCTAGAATGCACCACACTAATGGCGAAATTATGATTTATTACTCCAAAAAAATTCACCAAAAAAAGCTCTTAGATGTTCAACAATGGCTTTTGAACATAAATATTTAACTTATTTTAGAAAATTTGGTCATTTCAAAATCCATTCAATAACTAATTTCAATTTCAAACAAAATCTTTTGAATGATGATTAGATTTTTCTCAAAATACATAACTAAATTTCTTGTCACACCCTAAGAATTTACAATACTGATATTCCTGATATGTGACAGTCAAAACATATATACATCTCTTGATAGGACAAATTTACACTGACGAATTCTTACAAAGTAACAAAAGAAAGCTTAGACACAACTACAATATCTTCCAAAGTTGCTCTTGACGAGTATACAAAATGAAACCGCAGTTATCCTGAAAATGTTTACCATAGTTTGATGAGTTTGGCTACTCAGTAAGTGATCATCATAATCCTAAAAATAATCATGGTTGAAAGATATCAATATTTCCAAAAAGGATATCTATTAACAGAAATGCATTAACAGTTTAACTTTAAAAAATGTTGAATTAAGTATAATCCGAATAATTGAAATGCATATAACATTTTATCGGCAGTGCGTAATTCAAAGATTCCAAAAAATTACCCTACTGGCGTCCCAAGTAGGTGACCTATATACCCCATCAGCGTCCTGATGGGTCCACTTAATCCCTATCGGCCTCCCAGATAGGTCCACTTAATCCCTGCAGGTCCACTTATACCTCACCGGCGTACCGGATGAGTCCACTTAATCCCTACCGGCGTCTCGGATAGGTCCACTTATACCTCACCGGCGAACCGGATGAGTCCACTTGCATACGTAAATTATTTCTAAATCTCTTTAAACATTCGAAAGCAGCAATATCATGTACTCAACATATCACTGAAATCACTAATATGAATTTCATTGAACCATTAATAACAGTCACTTTCAATAACATTTCAAAAATAACCAATCAAATATTTTGGGCTCAAATTTAGAAAGGTAGTAGTTCGTAAAGACATTATAGTATAATTGGCAATCTAATATGTATATAAAAATTAAAAATTCAAGAATATAGAATCATCACAATTTATGGGATATCAATTCACAAATAAACATTTTACAACAATGCTATAATCAATTGCAAAAATATCATTTTTTAAATAATAAGGCAGTCATTTGCACATGAATTTTATAATGTCTAAATATTCAAAAACAGTAGAAAGAAATATCACAATTTTACTAAAAGTAAAAATATCACATTTATTGAAGAAAAATAAATAAATAAATTTATTTTAAAAAATTCACAGCATTTAAAATTTCTAACATAGATAAAATATCACAATTTTACTGAAAATATTATTTTCTAAAATAATGAGATCGCTTGCACATAAAATTTATCGCACCTAAAATTCATGATAATAAGCATAAATAATTATTTCATTTTATTTTTAAAAAGAATGGATTATTTTTCAAGATAATGAAGTCACTTACACACAAAACTTATAAAATAAAGATCCTGAACGGAAATATCACTATTTATTAAAAACAGACTATTTTTCAGGAAG